CCCCGCCAGGCTCCCTCTGCCTTCCACTTCCTTGTCCCACCCCTCTCCCATTCAAACCCCTTCTTCAGGCTTCTGCCCACTCCATGGGCCATACTGGGGCCTCAGGGCAGTGCGTCCCTCGTGGGTGATGGCTGCCTTCTGGCCACAGTTGGGGTGGAAGAGCAGGCGCTCGGGTTCCGCCTGGGCAGGAGCAGCTCGGCGGAGAGCACCCTCAGGGGACAGTGCCCGTAGGATGGCGTTGTTCCGGCGGAGACGGTCACTGTGGTTGTTATTGTGGACGATGGTCACCTTCACTGCCATCCCATACAAGTCCACCACACCATATACCACTGGGGGTGTCAAGGGGGTCGCCACTCCTGTGGCAGGAAAGTACAGGGGTGCGGGAGTGGGCAGGGAGAATGAGAGGAGAAAGTCACACACAGGGAGACCAGGCACCAAAGAGAAGCAGGATGATGAGGTAAGGACCCCAATCCCAGCCCCACTGAATGCCCTAGCCCAGAGGCCCTCTCTGAGCAGCCCTTACCCTGATCGATGCCATTGATGAAGAAGTGCAGGGCCGAGTTGGACTTCCTTGTGAGACCAATGTGGTCACCCTCCTACTCAAAGAAGAAAAATAGTTCAGAGGATTCCCAGGGCCTGCCCAGTATCCCACTCCGCATGGGAACAACTCCAGAAAGTATTCACCAGAGTTCAGATCACCCTCAAGGACAGGTCCTGGGCCCTTGTTTTCCAGATATGACAGTTTCTACATTTCCTCAGTGCTCAACATGAGTCAGGCACTGAGTTAAACCACCTCACAGACATCAGCTTCGACAAGTCTCAGCCTATGGAATCAGCCTACTTGGAGGCTCATTTTAGAGACTGCAGTGAATGGAGGAATAACCAAAGAGGGTAAGCTTCTTGCCTTAGTTTGCCACTACAAATGGGCAAACAGGAAGAGGAATTCAACCATCTGACTCCAAAACCTGAGTGCTAAATTCTTGGGCAACTCAGCCTACCTAGAACCTTTAGGTAGACATAGGGACTTGCTCCAGGTCACAGAGAAGAGACCCTGCTTGGTGCCCAGGCAGGGACAGAGTATCTATGGCTCCTCTGGAGAGTGACCCAAGGCTCTGTGCCCACCCTCACCTGCAACTCATCCAGACTGAATTCGCAGTACTCCCGGCGGGTACCCTTGCCATTGGTCAGAATTCCACAGCCACTCATCATGATGGTGCCTAGGTGACGATGGACACTCAGGTTGGGGTATGGGCTTCCTTCCTCTCAGCAACACCAGGCCTGCACCCCCACCCCTGCCCAGGGCTAGTACCTGACTGGAGGTTGGTCATGGTGGCTGGATACTCCAAACTGTTGGGGTTGTGGGTGGTGACACCAATCTCAATGGAGCCTGACCACTTATCAACAAGCTTGTCGATACGGATCTGGCATTGAGGGAAAGAAGGGAAAAGCAGGGAATATAAATGCATAAAGGGACCTTCAGCCCTTGGTTCTTCCCCAGGGCCCACCCTCCTAGCATCAAGGGCCAAGCCCCATCTTTAGCTCCCAGGGACAAGGCGACAACCAGACCACAGGACTTTGCACACCTCAAACATCTCATTGTCCCGAAGTGGGCGGTTGGTCATGACAACCCCATTGTTGAATTCATCCAGGGGCCGCCTGCGCTCAGCTGTTTTATTATTGTTGCTGAGTTTGATGAGGGTCCCACACTTTTCATGAAATAGCAGGGCATCGTTGGAAGTGAGAATGGGAGAGGTGGCAGCACCGCTAGACCCCAGGCCTTCCCCTGCCGGTGGGGAGCTCAGGTTCACATTCAGGAGCCCTCCACTGTAGGCAGACAGGATGGTGTTGCTCACCACCTCGGACAGCTCCATGCTGGCGAAGTCTATAGCAGCAGGATGGAAGAAGAAAGCTGGGATGAGGCTCTATGCCCCCAGGCTTGGTGCCTCTCTCTGTACCCCTTCTTCTGAGGGCCTTCCCTTGTCCACTTCACTTCCCACTCCCCTTCCCTGGGCCTCCCCAAAGCCCTCACCATTATGCGACTCAAGGCTGTTAGGAAACGTCTCCGGCCGGGCCTGCGCTGGGGACACCATGAAGGCTGGGGACCAGGTAGGATGGGAGGGGAATAAGGGTTCAGTCCCTAATTCAGGGCCCACAGCCAGGAGACCCCCCATCTTCTAGCTCCCGCTCTCCCATTCAACAGACTTGGGGATCAGAATGGCCCTGCCCACACCCAGCCTGTCTTGTCACTGTTATTTCCCCCATTCCATCCCCACCCCGCCACCACTGCCCTAGCTCTTTTCTTACCTTCATCAGCAGAGGTCCCCTGTTCAGCCAAGGCAGAGTCTTCAAGGGGGGCCAAGGGCTCGAGGGGAGGTGTGGGGATGGGAGTAGGGGGGCTGAAGCCTGGCTCAGAGGGTAGCACAGTGATCTGGGTGCACTTGCCATAAAGGTCCACGACAGCCCAGACACGAGGGGGCAGGCCTGTGGCAGCCACTCCACAATCCCGCCCATTCACCCAGAGCCGCAGCTCCCCAGCAGCTGTGCGCTCCACGCCCACACGGTCCCCTTCGCCAAGCTGGTCCAGGTCCTGACCATACTCCTCCAACACAGAGCGTCCATCTCTCAGCACAGAGCAGCCTGACACTACCCATGAGCCCCCCTTCAGCCCTGTGGCACTGCTTGGAAAGTCCAGCACACTGGGATCCAGCGCTGTCACCCCAATCTCAATGGAGCCACTCCAGGAGTTGACCTGGGATAGGGGTAGTGGACAGAGGCTTAAAATGGGCCACCCCTTATTCCACAGACTACCATATCTTCCCACCTCTCAGATAGCTAACTGGCTTTCTCTTGGAACACTAATCCAGAGATGCAAATAGTAATTTTCTGGACTCTGGCTTGGTAATTATTTGGGCTTTCTTTCCTTTAGCAACTCTGCTTTCTACTCAGTGTTTACCGCACCACTCCTTTCCAAGCCAAACAAGCGTTCCTTAGTTCTAGCCTCCTGTCTCCTCTGACTTCCCTGGTCTCTATGGCTCTCCAACCATCCAAATTCACCAACTTCCTATACCCACACCTCTTGCTCTTGTGTATCATTCCCTTCCCTTGGCCTAATTCTCTCCAAGGATCAGGCTCTACCCAGATTCAGCCTTCTCCCAAGTTCTTTTTCTGTGAGTGTAGCCTCTTCAGTGAATCACACACACCTCCCTCACCCTGGATAGTTCTCCTCACCTCTTTCTGGCACAGCCTGTGAGTTTGTCCTTCAATGGTTTGTTATTGCTGGGTTTTTTTTGTTGTTGTTGTTTTTGTTTTTTTGGTTTTTTTTGAGACAGAGTCTCACTCATTCTGTTGCCCAGGCTGGAGTGCAGTGGCACGATCTCGGCTCACTGCAACCTCCGCCTCCCAAGTTCAAACCATTCTCCCGCCTCAGACTCCAGAGTAGCTGGGATTACAGGGGCACGCCACCACGCATGGCTAATTTTTGTATTTTTAGTAGAGACGGGGTTGTTTCATCACATTTACTAGGCTGGTCTTGAATCCCTGACCTCAAGTGATCTGACCACCTCAGACTCCCAAAGGGCTGGGATTAGGTTTGTTCGTTCCTTGGTATCTCTCTTCTCTTGCCATCGCATCTCTGACATCTCTCCATCCTCCACGCCCAAGAAATTGTACCAGGAGGTCTAGTCCCAGCCAGTCTAGCGACTTAGCCCTTGTGTCCCTTCTTTGCTTCTGGATCTTGAGAAAACTCAAGCTCTTAATGTCTTCTCCTTCAAACTGAATGTTTCTGATTCATGCTGTCTTCCTGCCCGTCCCCTGGTGCTCTATCACCTTTCGGTTCCCTCGGTGCCCGGCGATGTGAGCTACCCAGGCTGTCCTACCCCGTCTCCCTCTAGTCCCCTCCCACCGCCCTCCACATCTCGGTTCCGCGAACCCAGCGCTGCACCTTGCGGTCGATGCGGACGGTGAAGACGCGTCCATCGCGCAAGGGTTCTCGGCTCAACACCAGCCCGTGGTTAAACTCCTGGCCCGGCTGCTGCCGCCGCGCTGTACGCCCACAGGCCGACAGGCTCACCAAGCGCCCAGTACGCGGATGTAGCTCCCCGCCGCTACTGAGAACCCCGCTGGACCCCGGTCCTGAGCTGCTTCCGCTGGGGCCCCCACCCCCGCCCGGCACCGGTCCGGGGCCTCCCCCAGAGCCCCCACTCCCACCCGACCCCGCCGCCATCTCCGCTGACACCGGGGCAGCGCGACAGCCGCGCTTGGCGGCACCGTGGCAACCGCGGCGGGCAGACACCCTGAGGAATACGACCGGGGGCTGAGGCCAGGTATGCTTTACGGCACTGCTGGGCAATGAAGCAGCCCGAGCTAGGAGCTGGGGACGACCACGGTGAGAACCGAAGGACAACGAGGTCGGGAGGCTCACTTTACGGCATAGCGGGGTGACGGAGTGGCTCCGAGAGGGACGAAGACTTGGGAAGGGAGCTTTTGCGACAGTGGAAGACACGCCCACCGCAAGCATCTTTACGACGGTGGGGTGCTGGAGTCTAAACACTTTCTGCTTTGCGACAGCGGTACCGACAACTCCGCCCTGGCTTGGGGGAGGAGACACCTTGAAGCACTCGCTTTACGGCAAGAGGGGGGAGTGAGTCCCTTCTGGCTGCACGCTCCGAAACAGCTTGAGCCGAGTCTGGAGGACCCCGGGAAGTGGTAGTGAAAGTCTATGCCCGCAAGGTCACTGAGATCAACGTGTCTTGCGACAGTGCCGCAATCCCTCTACTTTGCCTCACAACTCTCCGGAGAGACCGAGCGAGCCGACTGGCGGGGCTGGGGGAAGCTCGCTGATATTTCAAGTCAAGCTCAGCCTCAACTCCAACTCAACCAAACTAGTCGATGTTAAGGCCAAAAATAGTCTAAAGAATCCTGACAGGCAGTTTCGAGCAACGGCGCTGAGGACCCCAAAAAAATCTCCCCTAGGGCCATTAAGCCCCCAGCCCAACTCCCCGACGCTCACCCTCAGGCTGAAGGACCGTGACGTCACAATCGAGCTTCTCGCCCCCTGGCCTGGCCCCCTGACTGGGATTGGCTGATTTGGATGAGGGTGGTGATGGAGAAGGGCGGGAACAAATCGCACAAAGGAAGAGTCTTTAGGTGGAACAAAGGAAAGGGGCGAGTGGAGGGACTTCCAGCCCGAGTCTCGATTCCACCCGCCGCGGCTCGGGAGCAGAGGAGAAGGGGACCCGGCACTCTGCCGGAGCACCCCTGGCCGGCCCTACGTGGGGGCGGGGCTAGGGGCGCGGCTAGTGGAGCCGGGAGGCGGGGCGGGATCGCTGAGAGCGGCCCCCGGGTGGGGCCTCGGAGAAGGTGGAGTCCCTAGGGGCTACTGGCGGCCTCAGCCGGGACTCCCCTGGAGGGGCAGCGGGAGGAGTGCCCCGAGCGGTGAGAGAAATCGAGGCAGGCGCTGGGCAGCCTTCCGGAGTAGTCTTGTTTCACGGTTCTAGGCCCCTAGTGCTCTCAGAAGGCAGTTTAACTCGCAGTACTGGTGCAAGCTGGCGCTCCACGGGGATAGTTGTCCTTGGTTCCGGGCCCAGTCAGCACCCAGGGGAGGTTGCCAGCCACAGCCTTGGGTCTGGCACGAACCCTGGTGGATTCAACACCCTCGGGCCTAGAACCAGTGTATCCAGGGCGCCAGCAGGGCAAGAGGTAAACAGCCCTGGGTGCAGTCCGCACTCTGGGTCAACTTGCTTGAACCCCCAAAAGTCCCAAGTGGATTGGCCCCGGAGCATCCTGCGAAAGAACAGCTCCAACTTGAGCTGAACCCCTCATGTGGAGAAGTAAGGAGTTCAGCTCTGCGGTCAGGAAACCCAGAGTCTGGAGGGTTCAGGACACCGGAGGGGCGGAGCCAGAAGGAAAGGGGCAGAGCCTTAAGAACGATTAGAGTAGGTGAGGGCAATTAAGTGGGAAATCCGAGGTTCTAGGCCTTCAGAAAAGCAGGTGTCCCATAAATCCTGGCTGCACAGTACTATGATTATCATTAAGTCTGACCCCATTCCCAGCCTCAACAAAGGGGTATAAGAAAACTGTTTTGCCGGGCACGATGACTCACGCCTGTAATTCCAGCACTTTGGGAGGCCAGGGTGGGCAGATCACCTGAGGTCAGGAGTTCGCAACCAGCCTGGCCAACATGGTGAAACCCCGTCTCTACTAAAAGTACAAAAATTAGCCGGGTGTGGTGGCAGGCATCTGTAATCGAAGCTACATGTGAGGCTGAGGTGGGGGAATGGCTTGAACCTGGGAGGCAGAGGTTGCAATGAGCTGAGACTGCGCCATTGCACTCCAGCCTGGGTGACAGAGCAAGACTCCATCTCTAAAAACAAACGACAACAACAAAAACTGTTTTTGAATGACTGGAAAAATGAAGGACGCCTATGAGGAGGGGGTCACTAAAAGGTCTTCTCCCCCAGCCCCAGAAAGAAGTCTCGGCACTGGGATGAGATGAATATCCTGGCCACCTACCACTCTGCTGACAAGGACTATGGATTTATGATAGTGGATGAGCCCAACACTCCCTACCACAGGTGGTGAGCCCTCCCCAGCCCTTCAGTCCAGAGATTCTTCTCTGTTCCAAGGAGGGGACAGGTGGAGGAGGCAGAGAGAGCCTCGGGGACTGGACACTGCCTGACCCCCACCTCCCAGCACTGCTTCCCCCTCCTCTGCAGGCTGCAGGACAGTTTTGAGGACCTCTTTGCCAGTTCCTCCCACTCAGTGAATCCCGAGGTGCTAGCAGAGAGGTGAGAGTCCTGCCAGAGGTCAGCTGGGGAGTGGGGCCTCTTCCTCCCTTCAGCGCTGAACTTTCTGACACCCACAGTGGGAGATGCTACAATTTCCATCAGGCCTGGGTGGAGGTGGGGGTTTACCACCTGTCCCCATTGCTATTTTCTTCTCTTGATGCCCCCAACTAGTCTCCCTCCCCTTCAGGATTGCCACAATGGACAATGGCTGCCCCAAGGTCCTCCAGAACTGTGCTGACACGAGCTCAGGGCCTGCAGACAACTTTTCCAAGACATGTGAGATGAGGGTTGGAGATTAAATGGAAAGGGGGAGGTGGAGTGCACCTTCAGCGAAAGTAAGGTGGGAAAGCCAAGCTCTCACCATGGTCACAGACTCCACCGACTTTGAAAAGCGCCGCAAAGCACACTATGCCACAGGGAAGTTTCTCAAGGCTTGGTGGCAGTATCAGTATCAGCAGTGGCAGTCAAGATGTGATGCTGGACCCAGAGCCCAAGCCTGTGCAGAGAGGCTGGGCAGGAGAACTAGCCAGAGGAGCTAAAGACGAGCCAGGCCTGGCCACCCAGAGGCACATCTTTAAAGCCCAGGGTTAGCGATGGTGGGGCTCCAGGCACCGGGGGGATTGTAGTCCAGAGCCCGCTCCTCACTTCTCACCACAGTCTGTCTTCCTCAGTGCATCAGCCCAAGACCCTGCTGTCTGACAGGGAGGTAATGCTGAGAGGTGACCCCAGGAAAGAAAGAGGGCAGCTGGAGGAATGACCCCACTCAGGATAGCCCCCAGAGATTATGGGCTGTTGAGAAATAGAAAGTCTGATTAGGGGCTGATTTGTTGGCCAGGTCCAGTGGGTTACTCCTATAATCCCAGCACCTTGGGAGGCCGAGGTGGGACGATAGCTTGAGCCCAGGAGTTTGAGGCTGCAGTGAGTGATGATGGCACTACCACATTCCAGCCTGGGTAACACAGCGAGATCCTGTCTCAAAAATAAAATAAAAAATATAGCCGGGTGTAGTGGTACATCCCTGTATTCCAGCAACTTGGGAGGCTGAGGCCAGAGAATCACTTGAACCCGGAATTCGAAGGTTGTGGTGAGCCAAGATTGTGCCACTGCACTCCAGCCTGGGCATCAAGAGCAAAATTCCGTCTAAATAAATAAATAAAATGAATAAATGAATAAAATAAGTAAATAAAAGTCCGAAACAACCATGAGGGGCGGTGGAGAGGTTCACTAAAGTTCTTCTCAAATGGGAAGGGCAAGAAAAGTCAGTGAGATAAGGACCTGGGACCTGAGCTTCTCCCCTCTGCTGAGGGGCCACGACAGACACCTGGGAGGCCTGGATACACCAGGTGGCCAGAAGACTCAGATTCGTTTGGCTGATTCCTCAGATTCCTCCACCTACGGAAGTCAGTCCCTGCAAGCTGTGGCCACCATCATACTGGGCAGGAGACTGCTCTGCATCACAAGGAGTATTATGGCAAAGGACTATACCTGAGGTCCTGCTCCCACCCAGAGCTTATGGAGGACGTGGAAGATGAGCATCAGGACGGTGAGAGCCTGGGCAGGACAGCCTGGGGGCAGGAGGGCTGGGAACCAATAGCCTGATGGGTACCCTACCCTTGATCCCTGATTCTAGGCTCCGCGCACTGGACCTGCGTGATTGAGAACCCCAGAAACACTGAAGTCCACCTGCTGGACCACATAGGAGGCCCCTTTAGGGATCACAAGGCCCCAGAGAGCTCCCTGATGGTGACAGTGACATCACTGCAACCTGTTGAGGGCACCAGGCCACCATCTCCCTGCTCCTATCTCTTGGCAAGCTTCCATTTCCCCAGCCCTCTCCATTTTTTCAGGCCAGTACATCAGCAACAGGTGGTAGCAGAAGCCCGGAACAGCATGGAGTCCAAGGCCCATATTAGACAGGAGAGGAACCAGGGAGACTCAGAAGGGGCTGGGACCCCCTCCAGCTTGGCACCACCCACTGGCTCCATGCCTCCTCCTTGATTCCTCTCTGCCATGCCACCTCACTCCAGGTATTTCCCTGTCCTTCAAAGACAGTGAGTCTCAAGTGGTATCCAGCTGGTGTCTGTGGCTGGTGGCCAAGGGGCTGAGCTGGCAGAGCTCAGGGAGTTCAGAGAGGGAGCGTGGAAGCAACCCCAACCCCCCAAGCCAGAACCCCCACAGCCTGGCAGACTTAGCCTGGGCAGAGGCAAGGGGATGTTTGCACTGGCCAGGGCGGTAGAGGAGCTGAGTGGGGAGGTTCTAGGGGACCCATGGTCACTTGGACAAGATCTCATGCCTGCTATGAGAAAGCCATGAACTTAAACCCTTCTCTTCAGATGAAACCCTGGGACTTCGATGACTCAGGAAGAGGAAACAAAACAATGGAAAGCGAGGCCAGCTAGGGGCGGAGTGGGGGCACCCTTCCCTTCCTGACCACCCTAGGAGTGGACAATAAAAAGCAGAAGAACAGGAGTCTGGGACCGTGAATTGGGTGCCCAGGCTGGGCCTGCTTATCGTTGAGGAGAGGGGAGGGGGAAGGGGAGTTCACACACAGGAAAGATGAATCTGAGGGCAGAGTGAGGAAAGCTGGGGGCGGTCCAGGGTCCTGGACCTCCTCCTCCACAGGAGCCTAGAATCACGAGAAGGCCCAAGCTGCAGCAGGATGACAATGACAGATGCAGTTAATTTAGTGAACCATGAATTTACTGCTGTTGTCTTCTTCACTTCATGCAGCACTGGAGGAAGGGATTATCATTCCCATCTTCCAGGTGAGAAAACTGAGGAATCAGAGAGCTCCCCCAGGGGCACATAACTTCTAAGTGACAGAGTCAGGATTTGAACCTAGATCTGCCAGGCCCCCAAGACTCAACTACGAAGAGAGAAACAGGCTAGGGCCCCCAGGAGGAAGGAGCTGGCAGATCGTCTCTGAGGGCGGGGCTGTGGCTTTTCTGATCTCAGGCCCCCTCCTCCGCCCAGGCCCCGCCCCCGCCCCTCCCAGCACTGCCTGGAAGTGTGGGGTGAGAGCTCCTCCTAGGACACCCCTTTCCCCTTGGGGAAAGAATTGTGCCCCCCAGGCCCTTCCCCGAGGAGGACCCTCTCCCCTTCTGGGACAGAAAGCGCCTCCACCTGCATCCCCACTTGCCCGGCCTCCAGGGCCTGCTGGCCCCATAGCAGGCAAGCTGAGATGACGGTCAAGCTGGATTTTGAGGAGTGTCTCAAGGACTCCCCGCGTTTCCGGTAAGTGTGACCTGGTCTAGGGGGGCAAGGAGGGGAAGGTCTAACACCCCCAGCACAAACACACACCTTTCCCCAGGCCAGACCTCCTTTCAGAGATCAGGCCTCAAAGAGGCAGGAGCCAGCTTGGGGCCCAAAGTGGTACCCCAGCTATCAAAGCAGGGTGCTTCAGTGCTCTCACCCCTGCATGCAAATCTTGGCCTCTACAGTCTCCCTCACCCTGAGAGCTGGCATGCCCTCCTGCCTCTCACTGGGACCCCTGCCCCTCCCCCAGCACCTGCTCTGGGGCGGTTAGCAACTTCCTGCCCTGGCCACATCCACCCTCCTTCTACCCTTCCTGATCTGGCCTGGGCGGTGGTAGCTTCTAGACAGAGCAGAAGTGGGCGGGAGGATGAGCGTCTCAGCCCTGCAGCTTTCCCCTCCGCACCCACCACCCTGCGACTCCATCTCCCGTGATGAGGCAGACAGACCAGATGGACCCGGCTCTGTTCCCATGACGCCCCTCTTTCCCAGAGCCTCTGTTGAGCTGGTGGAAGCCGAAGTGTCGGAACTGGAGACCCGTCTGGAAAAGGTGACCCTGACTTGGAGAGGTGACCCTCGAGCAAATTATGTTGAGAGGGGTGGGGCCAGGGAGAAAGCCGGAGAGGAGCATGCATTCCAGGGATTATTGAATGCTGTGGAGGGCAGATATTTTGGAAACCAGAGAAACAAAAAAGATGATTCTGTACCCTCAAGAAGCTCAAGATCTTGGAAAACAAGATTATTTTTGGGCTGGGCGTGGTGGCTCATGCCTGTAAGCGCAGCACTTTTTGAGGTCAAGGCAGATGGGTTACCTGAGGTCAGGAGTTCGAGACCAACCTGGCCAACAAGGAGAAATCACATCTCTACTAAAAATGCAAAAATCAGCGGGGCGTGGTGGCGTGAGTCTGTAGTCCCAGCTACTCCCAAGGCTGAGGCAGGAGAGTCACTTGAACCCAGGAAGTGGAAGTTGCAGTGAGCCGAGATCCTGCCACTGCCCTGCATTGTGAGTGACAGAGAAAGACTTACTTTTGGACTTCCTTGTTAAACTCTTGGGCTCCTCCTGCATTTGCAGGCCTTGGACATTCAGGGAGGGCAAGATCATTTCTGCTTCCATGGAGCCCAAAGGCTGACTGGAATACAAACCAGCAAAACATTTCAGTTCAAAACAGTAGGTCTCCCCTGAACACTCTATCATACAGCATGTGTTCACAAATTCATGCTCTCTCATTCCCCTTACTTTGCTTTACTTTTCTCTGCAACATTTACTTCTGACACATTATGTATTTGCATGCTATATATTAGTTCTTTATTGCTGTGTAACAAATTGTCACAAATTTAGTGGACAACATTGTTTTTATGGGCAACATAGTGATTTCATCTCTACAAATAATATTATTTATTTATTTGTTTGAGACAGTCTTGCTCTGTCACCCAGGCTGGAGTGCAGCGGCAAGATCTCAGCTTACTACTCTGCCTCCAGGGTTGAAGCAATTCTCCTCCCTCAGCCTCCCAAGTAGCTGGGATACCTGGCTAATTCTATTTTGTATTTTTTATTTTTAGTAGAGACAGGGGTCTCACCATGTTGGCTAAGCTGGCCTTGAACTCCTGACTTCAAATGATCCACCTGCTTCGGCCTCCCAAAGTGCCGGGATTACAGGCGTGAGTCACTGCATCTGGCCTACAAATAATAATTTTAAACAATTGACTAGATGTGGTGGCCACACCTGTGGTCCCAGATGCTTGAACTCCTGGGCTCAAGTGATCCTCCTACCTCAGCCTTCCAAAGTGCTGGAATTAGGGGCATGAGCCACCACACCTGGCCTAAACTTTTTATTTTGAGGGCATTATTGACTCAGGAGACTAGTAAGGAGAGGTCTCATCACCCAGCCTCCTCCAGTGGTAATATCTTGTACAACACTAGTACATTATTAAAACCAGGAAATTAATATTGTCACATTACAATTAACAATAGAGTCTATAGACCGTACTTCGATTTTACAATTTGCATATACTTTTGTGTGTTATTTTTTGTTTTGAAACAGAGTCTTACTCTGTTGCCCAGGCTGGAGGGCAGTGGTGCAATCTTGGCTCACTGCGACCTTCGTCTCCCGGATTCAAGTGATTCTCCACCTCAGCCTCACGAGTAGCTTGGATTACAGGTACCCGCCACCACGCCCAGCTAATTTTTGTATTTTTAGAGACAGGGTTTTGCTATGTTGGCCAGGATGGTCTCTATCTCTTGACTTTGGGGTCCGCCCGCCTTGGCTTCCCAAAGTGCTGGAATTACAGGTGTGAGCCACTGCGCTTGGCCTTTTTGTATATAATTCTATGGTACTTTATCACATGTATGGATTCCTTTAACCATCACTACATTCAATATACAAATGGACACGAGGAATTCCTTTACAGTGATACCTGATACCCTTCCCACACTCTTCTCTCATTCGTGGCAACCACTGATTTGTTCTCCATCTCTCTACTTTTATCATTTCCAGAATGTTGTATCAGTAAAATCATACAGTATGTGACCCTTTGAGATTTGGCTTTTTAGCCCCCCCCACACACACACACACACTGACACTCTCACACTTAGAATAATGCTCCTGCCAGGTGTGGTGGCTCATGCGTGTCATCCCAACTACTCAGGAGGTCAAGGAAGGAGGGTTGCTTGGGACCAGAAGCTCAAGACCAGCCTGGGCAACATAGCAAGACCCCTATCTCTGATTTTTTAAAAATTAGCCAGGCATGGTAGTGTATGCCTGTAGTCTCAGCTACTCAGAAAGCAAAGGCTGGAGGATCCCTTGAACCCAGGAGTTCAAGGCTGCAGTTGAGCTATGATTCTATCACTGTACTCCAGCCTGGGTGACAGAAACCTCAATTCTAAAAATAATAATCAATTTTAAAAAAGATTAATGCTTTTGAAGTTTATCCAAATCGTTGCACATATCAACAGTTCATTCCTTTTTATTGCTGAGTACTATTCTATTGTACAGCTATCCCAGTTTGTCACTAGTCCAGTCTTATGAATAAGTTCCTTACTCATTAAGGGGCAGGGGCTGAGATGGTTAAGGAAAGAACTAGACACTCAGGTTCCTAGATTCACACAGTGATTTGTGAACATCCTTGTCCCTTGTCACAGATAACCCATGGTGATGTCTGATAAGATTTGATCTTGGTCAGTTTCCTGAGCATTACTGAACCTGCCATACACCCTCAAGTCAAGCTATATTTCCCTGAAGCCTGCACAAGCCCCAGAAAATTGGTTTTCAGTTCAACAAAAGTGCAGACCAACAAAACTGAATGCCTCTATACAGCCCAAGCTTTCTGAGCCCCTGCTGCTCTGGACTTACACACATGAGCTCCCTGGTGGTCTCCTGCCATCCTGGGCTGGGCTGAGCTGAGGGCTCCACAGACACTTAGTTGCTCCATTCTAGATATGGTGACTCAGGCCAGAGCCAAGTGGCATCACCTCAGAGGCAGTATAATTGCAACTCTGCAGGTAACAAGGTCCAGGGCTCAGGAGACTGACTCTGGGTTCTGATCACCCAGAGAGACCCTCCTCAGGCAGCCATTCCCTCCAGGTTTACCAAGTCTCTCTCTCTCTTTTTTTTTTTTTTTTTTTGAGACAGCGTTTCATGCCTGTCGCCCAGGTTGGAGTGCCCTGGTGTGAGCTTGGCTCACTGCAACCTTCGTCTCCCAGGTTCAAGCGATTCTCTTGCCTTGGCCTGCCAAAGTGCTGGGATAACAGGCATGACCCACCGTGCCCGCCCTCTTTTTTTTTTTTTTTTTTTTTTTTGAGACAGAGTTTCACTCTTGTTCCTCAGGCTGGAGTGCAATGGCACAATCTCAGCTCACTGCAACCTTCGCCTCCTGGGTTCAAGCGATTCTCCTGCCTCAGCCTCTTGAATAGCTGGGATAACAGGCATGTGCCACCACGCCCAGCTACTTTTGTATTTTTAGTAGAGACAGGGTTTCTCCATGTTGGTCAGGCTGGTCTCGAACTCCCAACCTCAGGTGATCCACTTGCCTCAGCCTCCCGAAGTTCTGGGATTAAAGGCGTGAGCCACTGTGCCTGGCCTAATTTTGTATTTTTAGTAGAGATGGGGTTTCACTATGTTGGTCAGGCTGGTGTCTAACTCCTGACCTCAGGGGATCCACCCACTTGGCCTCCCAAAGTGTTGGGATTATAGGTGTGAGCCACTGCGCCTGGCCTATCAAGTCTCTTTGTCAATCAAACGGGGCAGATAGGACGGGCCCCAGGAATACCCCAACATCTCCTCTTGGCCCTGACCTGTGGCCTGGATGATAGATTAATATGGGGGAATGTGCAGTGAGCACAGAATGGGACAACTCCTAGCCACAAATAATACGGATTTTGGGTCAGCGCAGTGGCTCACGCCTGTATGTAATCCCAGCACTTTGGGAGGCTAAGGCAGGTGGACCACGAGGTCAGGAGTTTGAGACCAGCCTGGCCAACGTGGTGAAACCCCATCTCTACTAAAAACACACAAAAAATTTAGCCAGGCATAGTGGCAAGCACCTGTAATCCCAGCTACTTGGGACGCTGAGGCAGGAGAATCACTTGAACCTGGGAGGTGGAGGTTGCAGTGAGCTGCTGAGATCACACTACTGAACTCCAGCCCGGGTGACAGTGCAAGACTCCCTTTCAAAAAAAAATAATATAGTTTTTTGGTTTTTTTTTGAGATAGAGTCTCACACTATCACCCAGGCTGAAGTGCAGTGGCGCCATCTGGGATCACTGCAGCCTCGACCTCCTGGGTTCAGGCAGTTCTCCTGCCTTAGCCCCCCAAATAACAGATTACAGTCACATGGCACCATCTCAGCTCACTGCAGTCTCAACCTCCCAGGTTCAAGCGGTTCTCCTGCCTTAGTCCCCTAAGTAGCTGGGATTATAGGCATGTGCCACCACACCTGGCTAATTTTTGTATTTTTAGTAGAGATGGGTTTCACCATGTTGCCCAGGCTGGTCTCAAACTCCTGAACTCAAGTGATTGGCCCACCTCAGACTCCCAAAGGGCTGGGATTACAGGCATAAGCCACTGCACTGGCCAATCCTGTAGAATTCAATAGCAACCATGTAGAGCATCCAGACGGTGCAGGAGGTTGGACTCTCCAGGGAGCTCTGGATCTAAGCAGGTAGGCAGGGTAGGAAGAGATGTGTGGGAGTGGACAGGGAAAGATGTTTTAGAGGTAAGGCTGACAGAGGTGTTGGCAACAGGCTGAGAGGAATGGGCAGGAATTTGGTTTCAGGCCCAAGGCAGTGGGAGCAAAGAAGCAGCAATGAGAACATAGCAGATGTGTGTTAGATACAGGGAGAGTTGGACGAGCCTGGAGGGGAGTGAGGCCAGACAGGAATGGCAAGCACCGCCCTGGGCAAGGGGAAAGGAAGTGGGGCAGGGGTGAGGGCATCACCTGGTGGGGCTGGTGGCACAGCTCCCTGTTACCCTCCTTCTTTCCCAGCTCTTGAAGCTGGGCACCGGTCTCCTGGAAAGTGGGCGCCATTACCTTACCGCTAGCCGCGCCTTCATTGTCGGCATTTGTGACCTGGCCCACCTGGGTCCACCAGAGCCCATGATGACGGTATGTGGAGGGTGGTCTGCATCTGGGTGGGAGGGGGTCTGGAATGAGGTGATGCTGTGGAAGAGGAGGGCTGGCCTGGGGTATGCAGGTTCCAGGCCAGAGCAGGGCTGGGCTCCCGTCCTAGACAGCCAGAGCAGGCTGGGACTCAAGTCGGGAGGGCCCTGCCACCCCATGCCTGGTACTCTTTCTGTGCCTCTTTTTGCCTAGGAGTGTCTGGAGAAATTCACTGTGAGCCTGAACCACAAGCTGGACAGCCATGCGGTAAATAGGGGAAGGTAGGGATTGCAGGGATTGTGGCCAGGTCGTCTGCGGTCCACCCCAACCTACCAACTTCTCCTTCCCTTAGGAGCTTCTAGATGCCATCCAACACACGCTGCAGCAGCAGATCCAGATCCTGGTCAAGGAGTGAGATGGGGCTGGGCGCGGCAGCTCATGCCTGTAATCCCAGCACTTTGGGAAGACAAGGCGGAAGGATTCCTTAAGCCTAGGAGTTTGAGACCAACCTGGCCAACATGGCGAAACTCTGTCTCCACAAAAAATACAAAAATTAGGCTGGGTGCAGTGGCTCATGCCTGTGATCCTGGCACTTTGGGAGGCCAAAGATGGTGGATTGCCAGAGGTCAGGAGTTCAAGATTAGCCTGTCCAACATGGCAAAACCCTGGCTCTATTAAAAAATACAGAAAAAAAAGGCCGGGCATGGTGGTTCACGCCTGTAATCTCAGCACTTTGGTAGGCCAAGGCGGGTGGACCACAAGGTCAGGAGTTCAAGACCATCCTGGCCAACATGGTGAAACCCTGTCTCTACTAAAAATACAAAAATTAGCTGAGCTCTTGTAGTCCCAGCTATTTGGGAGGCTGAGGCAGAGCATCGCTTGAGCCATGGAGATCGAAGTGAGCCAAGATCACCACTGCACTCCAGCTTGATGATAGAGCAAGACTCCGTCTCAAAAAAAAAAAAAAAAAAAATTAGCTGGGAGTGGTGGCAGGTGCCTGTAATCCCAGCTACTCAAGAGAGGTTGAGGCAGGAGAATCGCTTGAACCCAGGAGGCAGAGGTTGCAGTGAGCTGAGATGGCACCACTGCACTCCAGCCCGGGCAACAGAGCAAGACCTTGTCTCAAAAACAAAACAGGAGAGGAGTGAGATGGGAGGGAAGGGGGCCTTATTTCCCAGAACCAGCCCTCTGCCCTCTTCCCATGAATACAGGGGCCTCCCCAGTGACAGAGTTGTGGGATTGGGGGTTTCTGGTGGTCTGACTTCCATCCCAGGGATCCCCTTGGGTCTCCCATGATGCAGAGACTAACTGAAAGGACATGAGGGCCTTATCCTGGGAATTCTCTGCTGGGGCAGGTGGGTGTCAGCTGCGATTCTGTTACATCCTCATCCCCAGAGGTCTGCGGGGTTTCCGAGAGGCTCGCCGGGAGTTCTGGCGAGGGGCTGAGAGCCTGGAGGCCGCTCTGACTCACAACGCAGAGGTTCCCAGGCGCCGGGCCCAGGAGGCAGAAGAGGCAGGAGCTGCTTTGAGGACGGCTCGAGCTGGATACCGAGGACGGGCACTGGATTATGCCCTGCAGGTGCCTGCCCCAACCTGTCTCCAACGGGTACCAGAGCCTCATGTGTCACCTGGAGGCTGGGGAGTCCCCAGTGTGCAGTGGGAAGGGTTGCTGTGTTTTCAAGACTGACCTGGGGTCTTTTTGCATCCTCAGATCAATGTGATTGAGGATAAGAGGAAGTTTGACATCATGGAGTTTGTGAGTCGTGGTATGGGTGAGGGCAGGGTGGAGAGGAGCCTGCTGCCAGCACAAGACCAAGGGGAAAAGGGTTCTTCCTCAGCCTGGCCCCCTGCCCACCTTGTCTCCCAGGTGCTGCGTTTGGTGGAGGCCCAGGCTACCCATTTCCAGCAGGGCCATGAGGAGCTGAGCCGGCTGGCCCAGTATCGCAGGGAGCTGGGCTCCCAGGTGGGACCCAGGGCACAGGCAGGTCATGGAGGGAGGTTAGGGAGCTCTGAGACGACTCTTCTAACTGGGGGGCCTTGGACATCTGAGATACCCTTCCTGTGCCCAGTTGCACCAGCTGGTCTTGAATTCAGCACGAGAGAAGAGGGACATGGAGCAGCGACACGTGCTTTTGAAACAGAAGGTGAGGGGCCAGGTGTGGTGGCTCATGACCGTCATCCCAACATGTTGGGAGGCTGAGGTGGAAGGATCACTTGAGGCCTGAAGTTCAAGATTAGTCTATACAATGTAGTGAGACTCCATCTCTACAGAAAATTTTAAAATTAGCTGGTGTGGTGGCACACCTGTAGCTCTAGCTACTTGGGAGGCTGAGGTGGGAGGATTGCTTGAGCCAAAGAGTTCAAGACTGCTGTGAGCTATGATCACACCACTGCACTTGAGCCTGGGTGAAAGAGCAAGACTCTCTAAAAATAAATTTTAGAAGATATTTAAAGCCCGAGCACGGTGATTCACGCCTGTAATCCCAGCACTTTGGGAGGCCAAGGCAGGCAGATTGGCTCAGGTCAGGAGTTTGAGACCAGTCTGGCCAACATGGTGAAACTCTGCCTCTACTAAAAATAAAAAAATTTCTAAAAATGGCTGGGCGTGGTGATGGGCACCTGTAATCCCAGTTACTCGGGAGGCTGAGGCAGGGGAACTGCTTGAGCCAGGGAGGTGGAGGTTGCGGTTGCGGTGAGCCGAGATCGTGCCACTGCACTCCAGCCTGGGTGACAGACCAAGACTCCATCTAAAAAAATTTTTTTTTCAATAAGCAGAAAGTGAGGGATAGGGCTGATGCTGGGGCTGATGCTGGGGCTGTGGGCAGAAGGCAGACACCTGTGGCCTTCGTCTCTGCCCACCTCAGTTGCCCTTTGATCCTCTTGTGCCTCCAGGAGCTGGGTGGGGAGGAGCCAGAACCAGGCTTAAGAGAGGGGCCTGGGGGCCTGGTGATGGAAGGACATCTCTTCAAACGGGCCAGCAACGCATTTAAGACCTGGAGCAGGTAAGGAGAGGATACCCCGATCAGCCCACCCCACCCAATTATGTATTTTGAGTGGTAACAGTGTGCTAAGCACTGCAAGGAAAAACGGATGAACCCCCTGCCTTTGTCGTTTACATTCCATCAGCGAAGACAGATGATAAACCTAGTAAGTAAATTACGTGCTATGTTAGAAGGTGACGGTGCTATAGGAGAAAGGTAAGGAAGCAAGGAATGTGGAGAGCTGGATAGGGGTTGCAATTCTAAATAGCTGGGGAGGGTGGGCTTCATGAGAAGGTAACTTTTGAACAAAGACTTGAAGGATACCTTGGGGAAAAAAGTTCTAGACAGAGGCCAGGTGTTGTGGCTCATGCCTGTAATCCCAGCACTCTGAGAGGCTGAGGCAGGTGGATCACCTGAGGTTGGGAGTTTGAGACCAGCCTGACCAACATGGAGAAACCCCATCTCTACTAAAAATACAAAATTAGCTGGGAGCGGTGATGTATGCCCATAATCCCAGCTACTTGGGAGGCTGAGGCAGCAGGAGAATCACTTGAACCGAGGAGGCAGAGGTTACGATGAACTGAGATTGTGCCATTGTACTCCAGACTGGGCAACAGGAGCGCAACTCCGTCTCAAAAAAAAAAAAAAAGAAGAAGAAACGAAGGTTTTAGACAGAAGGAAGAGCCAGTGCCAAGCCCCTGAGCTAGCTGGGGTGTTGGAAGAACAGGGAGGTGGCCCTGGGTCTGGACAGTGACAGAGGAGGAAGTGGTATGAGATGAAATTGGAGCTAATGAGGGCGTGAGTCATTATAGGGCCCTATGGTTTTTGTAGGGATTTGGGGTCTACTCTGAGGGCAATTGGAAGCTGCTACAGGGTTTGGAACAGGATGGCGACATGCTCTGACTTGACTCCTTCCCCTTCCAGGGCCACTGCTAACCCATATGGGATCTCTGTGCAAATTAGAAAATGGAGCCATTTACCCAAGATACTTTTTTTAGTTTTTTTGTTTTTTTGAGATGGAGTGTCACTCTGTTGCCCAGCCTGGAGTGCAGTGGGGCAATCTCATCTCACTACAGCCTCCACCCACTGAGCTCAAGTGATCCTTCCTCCTCAGCTTCCTGAGTAGCTGGGACCACAGGTGTATGCCATCATGCCTGGCTAATTTTTGTATTTTTGGTAGAGACAGAGTTTCAACCATGTTGTCCAGGCTGGTCTCGAACTCCTGACCTCAAGCAACCTGCCTCTCTTAGCCTCCCAAAGTGCTGGGATTACCAGCCCCCAAGATACTTTTTTTTTTTTTTTTTTTTGAGATGAAGTCTCACTCCGTCACCCAGGCTGCAGTGCAATGACATGATCTTTGCTTACTGCAACCTCTGCCTCCTGGCGATTCAAGCGATTCTCCTGCCTCAGTCTCTTGAGCAGGTGGGATTGCAGGCACCTGCCACCACGCCCAGCTAATTTTTTTTTTTTTAGTAGAGATGGTGTTTCACCATGTTGGTCAGGCTGGTCTCAAACTCCTGACCTCAGGTAATCAACCCACCTCAGCCTCCCAAAATGCTGGGATTACAGGTGTGGTGAGCCACCTCGCCTGGCCTGATACTTTCATTTGTTAAAAATTTTAGCAATCTTAGCAAGTAACACTGGTGTCTAGAGAAAGAAAGAAAATTACTTTTTAAAGTATTTAAAATTTTTATTTATTTTGAGATGGAGTCTCGCTCTGTTGTCCAGACTGGAAAGTGCAGTGGCACAATCTCAGCCCACTGCAACCTCTGCCTCCCGGGATCAAGAGAGTCTCCTGTCTCAGCCGGTGCGTCGCCTCATGCCTGTAATCCCAGCACTTTGGGAGGCTGAGGTGGGCAGATCATGAGGTCAGGAGTTCGAGACCAGCCTGGCCAGCATGGTGAAACCCTGTCTCTACTAAAGTACAAAAATTAGCTGGGAGTGATGGTGCACGCCTGTAATCCTAGCTACTCAGGAGTCTGAGGCAGTAGAATTGTTTGAACCCGGGAGGTGGAGGCTGCAGTGAGCTGAGATGGAGCCACTGCCCTCCAGCCTGGGTGACAGAGCAAGACTGTGTCTCAGAAAAAAAAAAAAAGATTATCCTGTCTCAGCTTCCCAAGTAGCTGGGATTACAGACACCTGCCACCACACCCAGCTAATTTTCTAATTTTTAGTAGAGACGGAGTTTCACCATACTGGTCAGACTGGTCTTGAACTCCTGACCTCAGGTGATCCACCCCCTCCTCAGCTTCCCAAAGTGTCAGGATTACAGGCGTGAGCCCAACCTAAAAAGTATTTTTTTTTAATTGTAGCAATAGACGTTTTATTAGAAAAAGAATTTTACTGCCATCTGCTGGAAAGTTGTCTTCATAACTATGTCAAATCTGAGTTGTCCAGAATATGAATAGCACCCTTTAGATGTTCCAATTTGCGCAATGTCCACCCTTCTCTAGAATGTCTCATAGAACGGTCAGCCCAGGTGTTTATCCTCTCAGTAAGAGCACAGCCTCTCTTCCGTCCCTCATCCTAAAGCTGCCCATGTCTGTAACAACTTCCATATCCTACAGACGCTGGTTCACCATTCAGAGCAACCAACTGGTTTACCAGAAGAAGTACAAGGTGAGTAGGCCTGGGTCCTGGGTGCCTGGGTCCTAGGGAGACTCAGCCTTTGCCTGTGGCTAGACATCCACCCTTCTCACCTTGTCCTACCAGGACCCTGTGACTGTGGTCGTGGACGACCTTCGTCTCTGCACAGTCAAACTCTGCCCTGACTCAGAAAGGCGGTTCTGCTTTGAGGTGGTATCTACCAGCAAGTGAGTGCAATCCCCAGGGGCTTAGATACTCTAATATATCTAAATAGAGTCTTAAAGGCAGGGTCCACCACAATGGAGGCCAGCTCCAGACCTTAACCCTTTGTCAGCTAAATTGGGAGGCCCTTGTGGGAGAGGGTACAGGGTGATGGGGGATATTTAGGGGAATATTTAGGAGTCCTTTTTTTTTTTGAGACAGAGTCTCACTCTGTTGCCCAAACTGGAGTGCAGTGGCGCGATCTCGGCTCACTGCAACCTCCACCCCCCACCCCAGGTTCAAGCGATTCTCCTGCCTCAGCCTCCCGAGTAGCTGGGATTACAGGCACCTGCCACCACACCTGGCTAATTTTTGTACTTTTAGTAGAGACAGGGTTTCACCATGTTGGCCAGGCTGGTCTTAAACTCCTGACCTCGTGATCCACCCCCCTCAGCCTCCCAAAGTGCTGGGATTACAGGTGTGAGCCACTGGTGCTTGCTAGAAGTCCTTTTTTTTTTTTTGAGACGGAGTTTCACTCTTGTTACCCAGGCTGGAGTGCAAGGGCGCAATCTCGGCTCACCGCAACCTCTGCCTCCTGGGTTCAGGCAATTCTCCTGCCTCAGCCTCCTGAGTAGCTGGGATTACAGGCATGCACCACCATGCCCAGCTTATTTTTTGTATTTTTAGTAGAGATGGGGTTTCACCATGTTGACCAGGATGGTCTCGATCTCTTGACCTCGTGATCCACCTGCCTCGGCCTCGAAAAGTGCTGGGATTACGGGCATGAGCCACCGCGCCTGTAGAAGTCCTTTTTTTTTTTTTTTTGAGACAAAGTCTTGCTCTGTTTCCCAGGCTGGAGTGTGCAGTGGTATGATCTTGGCTCACCGCACCCTCCACCTCTGCACCCTCCAGCTGAGACTACAGGCGTACAACACCACACCCAGCTAACTTTTTGTATTTTTTTTTTAGTAGAGGGGTTTTTACCATATTGGCCAGGCTGGTCTTGAACTCCTGACCTTGTGATCCACCTGCCTTGGCCTCCCATAATTCTGGAATTACAGGTGTGAGCCACTGCACCTGGCTAGAAGTCTTTCAATATAACTGGGACTGGTTGAATACTGGCTCAATGTCAGCCTGCCCATCCTGCCACTTTGCTTCCCAGCCTCAGACCCTGCTACTCTCTCCCTCACCCTCCCACCTAGGTCCTGCTTCCTCCAGGCTGACTCAGAGCGCCTCCTGCAGCTGTGGGTCAGTGCTGTGCAGAGCAGCATCGCTTCTGCCTTCAGTCAGGCTCACCTTGATGACAGCCCCAGGGGTCTGGGCCAGGTACCTTAACCTGGGGGTGGGGCTGCAAAGCCAGGCTGCCTGTGGGGATGGGGGGGATGGGGCACCCCTTACCCTAGGCCCCTCGGCCACCCTTTCTCCCCCTCTCTCCCAGGGCTCGGGACACCTGGCCATAGGCTCTGCTGCCACCCTGGGCTCTGGTGGAATGGCCAGGGGAAGGGAGCCTGGGGGAGTCGGGCACGTGGCAGCCCAGGTACAGAGTGTGGATGGCAATGCCCAGTGCTGTGACTGCCGGGAGCCAGCCCCGGAGTGGGCCAGCATCAACCTTGGTGTCACCCTCTGCATTGAGTGTTCCGGCATCCACAGGTCACTCCCTAAGCCCAAGCATGAGCCCTGCTCCTTCAGGCTGCAGTGCAGCTTCCAATATAGAGCTCATCACACAGGCCCCTCTTTCCTTCCCTGTCCTGGCTTCCTCTCTTAGCTTCGGGCTTTGTCATTGGGCACCAGGCCTGGGCCCAAGCCTGTGGGGTGCCAGTTGGACCCAGGTGGGCCTAGCCCCTCTGTGTCCTAGTCTGGCCAGAAATGGGGGACACCCAGTTTGTTGGCTTGGTTGGAAGAAATGTGGAGTCAAGGTTGCTGAGGGTGGGGAAGCCAATGAAGACCAGACAGAGAAGAGGTCATGAGGCCTTAGGAAATCTCTAGAGCCCTCACCCCACACCTCAGTGTGGTAGGAGGAGGGAAGGGGGGTGACATGGGAGAGACTGTCCGGGCTAAAGTGTCACTAGGGAGGTGGCTAGAGCAATGAGGGCCTTGAAATGAAACCGAAGGAAGAAGGAATGATGACCAGGCAGGGTCCTGTGGGGCCAGGTGGAGGCTACATGGCCGCAGATGCCCTGCCTCCTGGGCCAGCACCTCTGCATGGGCTCCCCTGCCGGCCTTGCCTCCCAGTGTCTTCAGGAGCAGTGCAGCTCCCCACGCCACTCCCCAAACACAGGGCCTGACCCTCCCCTCTGGCCCTCCAGGAGTCTTGGTGTTCACTTCTCCAAAGTCCGGTCTCTGACCCTTGACTCATGGGAGCCAGAACTAGTGAAGGTAACTTGGGGTATTGTGAAGATTGGAGGCAAGAATGTGGGGGGCAGCGACATGGGGGTGCAGGCACCTGAGCCCTGAGGAGACAGATACTCACGGTCACCCTACCTGTCTCTGACTCTGTCTGGGCCTCCCGAAGCTCATGTGCGAGCTGGGAAATGTCGTCATCAACCAGATCTATGAGGCCCGTGTGGAGGCCATGGCAGTGAAGAAACCAGGGCCCAGCTGCTCCCGGTGAGCTTGGGGTTCAGCCTCCTAGGGGAATGGGGGGAACCTGGAGAAAGAAGTGGGAAGACTGTCTGCTTCTCCCCTCCCACAGACAGGAGAAAGAGGCCTGGATTCAAGCTAAATATGTGGAGAAGAAGTTCCTGACCAAGCTGCCTGAGATTCGAGGGCGAAGAGGTGGCCGGGGGCCCCCAAGAGGGCAGCCTCCTGTGCCCCCGAAGCCTTCCATGAGGCCTCGGCCAGGAAGCTTGAGATCCAAGCCAGGTATAGGGCTGGTTGGGCATTCATCGAACATCTGCTGTGTGTTAGGCCCTGTGCCAGATTCTAGAGGGAGGCACAGAGGGTAAGGCCCAGGCCTTCCCCTGGAGCATGTTGGCGGGACCAGACTGCAGTTTCAGGGGTTATGGTGGAGTGTCACATGAAGAATGGGAAGGAGTGTGGGGCTGGGTATAGGCAGGGAGGATAAGGGGTGTCCGAAGCATGAGAAAAGGAGAGGGAGTGGGGGTGGGTTTGGCTGGAGTGGCAGGGGTTGAGAGCTGAGGCCGAGTGTCAAGGAGTCTGCTCACTTATGTCATCTGGTGGTTGGACTGGATCGTGTGATGATGCCATCTCTCCCCACACCCTAGGGGCTCCTACATGTACATAGTCACACGTACACATATCCATGCCTGCATCACTCTACTCCTCCACAGTCCCAAGCCTCCCCACAATCAGAAGAGACCTGTCCCATTATGGCATTGGGGCACCATACTAAGGGTTTTCTTCCCAGACTTGGAGCTGCTTCCCCCTAAGAGAACCAAATCCCCTAAACAGAGCCTCCGTCTGAGGATCTAGGAAGCCTGCACCCTGGCGCCCTGTTGTTTCGAGCATCTGGGCATCCTCCATCTCTTCCCACCATGGCCGATGCCCTTGCCCATGGAGCTGATGTCAACTGGGTCAATGGAGGCCAAGAGAATGCCACGCCACTGATCCAGGCCACAGCTGCTGTGAGAGCCCTGCCAACCTCCCCACCCCACCCTAGAGCTCTGACACCTACTCCTGACTCTGGGCCCTGCCCTTACCTCCTCTTCCTGATACCCGTTCCCTAGGGCCCTCACCCATAGGGAGAGAGAAGCAATAGAGACTGGTTGCTAAGTGTGTGTAATTTGGAGGCAGAGAACCCAAGTTTAAACCCAAGCTCTCACCCCTCACAGGAGACTTTTAACAAGTAATTAACCTCTGTCTCATCTGTAAAATAGGGATAACAGCCAGGCAGTGTGGCTCACACCTGTAATCCCAGCACTTTGGGAGGCTGAGGCTGGCAGATCACCTGAGGTTGGGAGTTTGAGACCAGCCTGACCAACATAGAGAAACCCTGTCTCTACTAAAATATAAAATTAGCCAGGGGTGATGGCACATGGCTGTAATTCCAGCTACTCGGGTGGCTGAGGCAGTAGAATCACTTGAACCCAGGAGGTGGAGGTTGCAGTGAGCTGAAATTGCATTATTGCACTCCAGCCTGGGCAGCAAGAACAGAACTCCATCTCAAAAAAAAGGATAACATACCTCATAAGCTTGTACTACAAGCTTTATATATAAATACATGCAAAGAGCTAGAGCCAAGCCTGACAGCTGTAACCCCTTCCACACTCCTGATGAACACACCCCACCCTTCCATTCTCTGAACTGGCCCTATCCTAAGACATCTTGAACTCTACCACTGAGGATGCCACCCTCAACCCCCTTCTCAACTTCTCCATGCAGAATTCTCTTCTGGCCTGTGAGTTTCTCCTCCAGAATGGGGCGAACGTGAACCAAGCGGACAGTGCTGGCCGGGGCCCGCTGCACCACGCAACCATCCTTGGCCACACAGGGTAGGGATGACGGCCATGGGGAGGAAGGCTGGGAGGAGTTGGGTGGCCGGCTGACCCTGGCTCTTCTCTCCAGGCTCGCCTGCCTGTTCCTGAAACGGGGGGCTGATCTGGGGGCTCGAGACTCTGAAGGCAGGGATCCTCTGACCATCGCCATGGAAACAGCTAATGCTGACATCGTCACCCTGTGAGAATGCCTGAAGAGGGGGGTGGTGCTGGGATCCCCACTCCACCTGCCCACGTTCGGTGGGGCCTGGGGAAGGGCCGGGCCAGTGCTGGGACCAGGCGTGAGAAAGGCTGCTCCAAGTGTGCATTGGGACGTGGAGTAGAAGGCAGGCGGGGTGCAAGGATGCTCAACCCACCCTGAGAGACCTCACTCGCGCATCAACATTGCTGTCAGGCATCTTTTTAGCCCTAGATGCCCGGTGGGCAGATGAAGGAAACGCGACCCAGCTGGAAGAATGGGAAATTGGGCGGGGAGATGAGGACATTGTGGTTCATTTCTTAATTCCCTCCCGTTCAGGCTACGACTGGCAAAAATGAGGGAGGCTGAAGCGGCCCAGGGCCAGACAGGTAAGGATTTCACCCACGCCCCCTCCCAGGCACTCTGCACTACTGGTCCACTGTGACCTCTCTCCCTAGTGCCCGACTGCATTCATTCCGTTATTTAATAAATGTGTATTGGGTGCATCCGACGTGCCCTCCAATAGGACAAAGCATAGGCGCTGCTCGACGCGCGCGTTCCCACCCACGCTCGGAGCGCGAGGTCCCCAGGCGGGCCCAGGGCCCCGCCATCCTGCCGTTTTGCACTGGGGCCCAGACGCCTCCCCTCCCTCCCCCAGGAGATGAGACGTATCTAGACATCTTCCGAGACTTCTCTCTCATGGCGTCAGACGACCCGGAGAAGCTGAGCCGGCGCAGTCACGACCTCCACACTCTGTGACCCCGCGCCTCCCTCTCCTCCCTTCCCCACCACCGGGCCCTCCGCCATTAAAGCCACTGTGCTTCGCTCTTCCCTTCTGGTTCACTTCTTGGGCACCATCTTCGGGCCCGCAGGGTGTTGGGCGCTGCGGCTCCCGAGGGGCGAGGAGCGGCTGGGGCATTGTGAGCTCGAGTCCAGCAAGGGGCGACTCCCGGGAGCGAGGCGGCAGCTTCGGCCGCGGCCCGGGCGCTCTCGGGCTCGGGCGACGTGGCCAGCCCCGTCCTGCCGAGGGGTGGGTCCGGCCCTGGGGCTCGCGGGCCCGCGCGGCCGCCGAGAGCGCGCCGGGGCCGCCCCGGTAGAGAGGCATCCCCGGAATGCCGCAGCTCAGCACCCACCCCCTCGGGAATTCCCCGCGGGAGCCGCTGGGGAGGGACGCGGCCCCCGGGCCAGCCTCGGGCTCTGAGCGGCGGGATTAGAGGCTCCAGCCACGCAGAGCTGCAGACGTGAGGCCCGGCACACCTGAGCGGCGGCGGGGCGGTCGCGGCCACATCCGGGGCGACGCGCCTGAGTCACCTGCCCCTCGGCGTCCTCCAGTCCGGCCAGTCAGCCCCGTCTGCCCCGTCTCTCCAGTCCGAGACTCTTCCCCCAAACCCCCCAGAGTAGCGCGAACCGCGCGGGGGCGGGGGCGGGGCGCCAGGGGGCGGGGCTGTCTCTTAAAGGGCCCCGGGCCGCCGCCCTCAGGCCACTTCCTGGAGGCGGAGAGGACCTCAGTGGCTTCGGCAACACCCGGGGAAGGCGGCGGCGGCGGCCGAGTACCGAGACTCCCGGCTGTTTTCATCAGAGCCCTCGGACACTCCCAGCTCCGGCTGAGCACGCATCGTCGCTACCCGGCGGATACAAGGCGGCTCCGCCATCCGCTCCAGTCAGTTCCGCCTCCATCTTCTGCGACCGGCGCCGGCAGCCCGGCCTGGCCTCGGATTGGCCCCAGAGCCCTGGGTGGACTCGACCTCGGCGGCAGCGATCTGCCCAGGGTCTCCGAAGCCAGCCCTTCAGAGTCCGTCCTGTGCTCGCCACCGTCACCTGCTGGTTGGATTCCGGAAATCCACTGTCTGAAGACCACAGAGGAGAGTCGCTGACCACCCCAAATCGGATACGTCCAGACCTCAGGCTCCCCTTCCCCTCTCTGGCTGCCCTCTGCTTTTTTCATCCCTTCTCTCAACCTTTCAGGAGTTTCTGTGCCCTGAGACCAGCCTCCTATCCACCACCAAAGTAACCCGGGTGAGCCCCAAACCTTACTGCCTGTGCTCTGCCTGTGCCTCCAACCCAGCGAGTCTGACAGTTTCTACCCAATTCTGCACACACCCAGGAAGCTGTGTCTTTTCTTTTCTTTCGGTGTCTCCTGCACTTCCCAAATTTCTCCTCCTCCTGTGCCCTCTTCGCCCCCCTCCTTTGGGGGCCCTGTGACCCTAAATGTGGGGGGCACACTATATTCCACCACTTTGGAGACCCTGACCCGCTTCCCAGACTCCATGCTGGGGGCTATGTTTAGGGCCGGCACCCCCATGCCCCCCAACCTCAATTCCCAAGGAGGCGTCCACTACTTCATCGACAGGGATGGCAAGGCCTTCCGGCACATCCTCAATTTCCTGAGGCTAGGCCGTCTGGACCTGCCCCTCGGGTATGGAGAGACAGCGCTTCTCAGGGCAGAGGCTGATTTCTACCAGATCCGGCCCCTCCTGGACGCGCTGCGGGAACTGGAGGCCTCTCGGGTGACCCCTGCGCCCACAGCTGCCCTGCTCCACGCAGATGTAGATGTCAGCCCCCGCCTCGTGCACTTCTCTGATCGCCGGGGACCCCATCACTATGAGCTGAGCTCTGTCCAGGTGGACACCTTCCGAGCCAACCTCTTCTGCACTGATCCTGAGTGTCTACGTGCTTTGCGGGCCCGATTTGGTGTGGCCAGTGGGGATAGGGCAGAGGGGAGCCCACATTTTCATCTGGAGTGGGCCCCCTGCCCCGTGGAACTCCCGGAGGCAGAGTATGGGAGACTGGGACTGCAACCACTGTGGACTGGGGGGCCAGGAGAGCGGCGGGAGGTGGTGGGCACGCCAAGCTTCCTGGAGGAGGTGCTGCGGGTGGCTCTCGAGCATGGCTTCCGCCTAGACTCTGTCTTCCCCGACCCCGAAGACTTGCTCAACTCCCGGTCTCTGCGCTTTGTCAGGCACTGAGGACGCTGTTCTCATTTTGACTCTGGGAAGAGAGGGAATGGGGCAGTTAATGGGGTACTGGCACCCCTGAAGCCTCTTTCCAGCTCTGCTTCAAGAGCTATGAGAGTCAGGACTCCCCTGCACCTGACTGAAGCTCAGATATGGGCAGGAATTCCCAAAAATGAGCCCACCAAGGACTCACAGGGGTCCAGAAGGTCTCGACTGGTGCAGATCCTCGGAGGGGCAGGGAAGGTTCTCTTGGCTTGTTCTCACCTAAGGCTGGGGACCTTCAATCTCTCATTGATTGGAGCTCAGTGTTTAAGGGCCTGGAAAAGTGGGGAACACCTCTTTACCCAGACTAATCCTGGCAAAACCCTGGAAGGATATTGAGGTCTGGGGAAAAGGGAGGACTTGTCATTGCCCCATGCAGTCTCCTGGACCATGGCTTCTCCTCCTGAAGCTGGGTGGCCTGGCCTGACCAATGAGACGCCAGAACACTCTGGAACAAGGGAAGAGGGGTTCTTTGCTGTGTTCCAAGCCATCTACTGAGGGAGACAGAAAGGCCACACCCCACCCTCCGTTGATGTACGGGAGCTGGGAGAGTCCCCATGGCAATGGGGCTGGAGCATCCCTCATCTGGAAGGATCCCATCTTGGTGGTGCTGGCCATGGGGAAGAGGGTAGTATCTGCTGAGTCCTTGGCCTTCCTTTGTGTGTGCCTGCACATCAGCCAGTGTGTCTGACTGATGCAGAGGTCCCTGGCATCCTGGTTCCCATCTGTGTTGCTGACTACAGTGTCTGTGATGTCTGCCTGTCCAGGCCTATTTGGGGTTGCCCAGCAACTATTCTGGCCCAGGGTGTGTCTGTAGTATGTATGTGAGGAGGTTGACAATTAGTCGTTTAATCACAGGATGTGTGTGTGTGTTTACGTGCACGCATGCATATGCATCACTATGCAGCCAGGAGGGGCCTGTTGGGGTTTGAGTCACTGGGATCTTCCCCGTGAGAGGTAAGAGAAGTCACTGGGCTTAGCTGGGCCTCTGAGGCCTGTATAGAACTCTTGGTTGCTGCGGCAACCATGGGCCTGTTGCTAGGAGATAGCTGGGAAGGCCCAAGGCGGCCTAGGGCAGAGAGAGGAGACAAGAGTTTGGGGCGGTGGAGGAGGAGATGGAAAGGGATGGGATTTCTGGCTCCCTGAGCGGATGGGATACTTGTGCGCAGCTTCTTCACTGGGGGTGTCACACATTATTTATCACTGGTCATGATTTACAAGAAGAAAAATAAATGGCTTTTGGAACCACAAAATTGTGAAGGCTGTTGAGGGCCAGGTTGAGAGTGCTGTCCCCGCACCACAGAAGCCCTGCTTTCTCTGCCCATCGCTTGCTGGAGAGGCCTTCGGGACCCCAGTTCCCTGAGCCCCAGCTTTACCCAAGCTGAGGATGGGTCGTGGCATTGTTCATTGTTCTGGAACACTCTAGAACCTCCAGGCAAGGGCTGGAGCTGGGGCTGCAGAGCATTCCTTGGTTCAGCTGGGGAAGCCCTGCCCCGCCCCCCAGTGGTCCTCATGTGGAGGCTGGCACTAGGCACCGTTTTCCTGGCAGCGGCCCAGGCCTGTGTCTTCTGCCGCCTCCCAGCCCACGACTTGTCAGGCCGCCTGGCTCGGCTCTGCAGCCAGATGGAGGCCGAGCAGAAGGAATGTGAGGCCTCTCCGGACTTCTCGGCCTTTGCCTTAGGTGGGACGAGACATTCGAGGATGGGCCCAGTAAGCAGTCACTCCCGTACCCCCAAAGGGTGGCATGTGACCTCCCAGCTGTGCCCTCCATCTGTGGCCCTTTCTGAACATGCTAGTCTCTCCCTCTGAGAGAGCGCTATATCCAGGAAAGTCAGGAGAGACCCCAGACCCTGGGCTGGTGATGGAGTCGATGGTTCTTGCCCATCTCCACAGATGAGACGTCCATGAACAAAGTCACGGAGAAGACTCACAGAGTCCTGAGGGTCATGGGTGAGGTCAAGGGGAAAGCATGACCTAGGGGCTTGGGTAGACACCAAAGACAGGGGTGGGCAACAAGGGCTGGGGGGTGGGCAGGGAAAGGCGGAGGGGTGGAGACGGGAGGCCTGATCAAGGGGGCTGGGTGAAGGGAGAGGGAACTGGCCCCGTTGAGGCCCAGCGGAGCTGCTCTGCCTCCCCAGAGATCAAAGAGGCTCTCTCCTCACTCCCTTCATATTGGAGATGGCTTCGAAACACAAGCTCCCTGAGTACACAAGGGAAGGTACTGATGCGGGTGGCCTTGAGGGGAGCCCAGGGTCTCAGGCAAAGGGGTATGTGGTAGCAGCACATCCACTCACACTCCTGCCCCTTCCTTGTCTTTCATTGCAGCTCTCTGTCCCCCCGCCTGCCGTGAGTAGGAAAGGAAAGGGGTTGCAAGGATCTGGGGCCTGCAGGGTGTCAGAGGAGGGCCTGGCCGCTGCAGGAGGAAGCTGGGTACAGGGCGGGGTAGAGACCGGGCCTCCCCTCCCCAGCGCTGCCTCTGCTGTCTCCTGCAGGGGGCAGCACCATGCTGTACAACTGCTCTACCTGTGAGGGGACCGAGGTGTCCTGCTGGCCCCAAAAGCGCTGCTTCTCAGGTCCTCTTGCCCGCCCTGGCCCCGCCCCACCTTGCCCAGATCCCTGAGTCCTTGGGCTCCCCAACTGGTGAGTGTGGGTCCCAGAATCATTCGCTGCCTCCTGGATTCCCTACAGGAAGTCATGATCTTTGGGAAGCCAAGATTCTGCTCCTCTCCGTCTTCGGAGTTGTCCTGCTTCTGGGTGTTCTGAGCCTCCTGATGGAGTGCGTCTGGGGATAAGGACGGGAATCCTACCCTGCCCAGTGCCTTCCACCGCCCACCCTCCCTCCACCCCTCCAGGCCCCTCCCTTAGGCTTCCCATCCTCCGTCTTCCCTCAGGTCTCACCACCTCCAAGCAAAACGTAGCTTATGAAGACACTGAAAACCTCCCAGCCTCCAGCTGTGTGTGTGCACTCCCAACTTGCACATCCCTTGGAGGGGAACCAGCCAGCCCCTTAGTCCCAGCTCCAAAGACAGTCTTCCAGATCCTAAAACCCAGACATCCCTGCTTCTGGTTGGTGAGATAATAAAAAAGCAAGAAAATCCTCAAAAACCCAGACATCCCCACAATTCCAGGTTGGAGGGCCTCCCGGGAACCCAGGCACCTCCCCTCTGGCCCTCAACCAATCAGACAGCACTGTCAGCAATGCCAGGAAAATATCTACAGAAGGAAAGAATCCCCTACACCACTCCCACCACACCCACACCCCCTTCTGCCTGTTCCCGGAAAGTGGGGGTGACTTCCCCAGAAGCGACTCCAGGCTCTCCTGTGACTGATTGGGAATCCAGGAATGTGTCTTCTGAAAAACTCACCCCACCGGAGTGAGACCACATCAGTTGGTTCGCTGGCATCCCTCCCTCCATTGTGTTAACACAGTGAAACCCTCTGAGGGAGGCCTCTGTCCTGCCAGGCCCAACTAAACCTGCTGTTCATGGTCTCTGCCCCTGCCTGGCCTCTGTCTGCAACTGGAGAGGGCAGAGGAGAAATGGGAGACTCTCAGAGTAGCACAGTGCTTCTCAGATGGGGGTGATTTTGCGCCCAGTACACATTTTGCAACATCTGGAGTGGTTTTGTATTGTTTTGACTTGGGGATGTGTCACTGGCCTCTGGTGGGTAGAGACTAGAGATGAGCTAAACATCCCACAATGCACAGGAAAGCCCCCACAGCAAAGAATCATCCCATCCAAAATGTCAGTGTTTACCAGGAAAGGGAGATAGAAAAAAGAAAGAGGCCAGGCGCAGTGGCTCACGCCTATAATCCCAGGACTTTGGGAGGCTGAGGTGACCAGATCATGAGGTCAGGAGTTCGAGACCAGCCTGCCTAGCATGGTGAAACACTATATCTACTAAAAATACAAAAATTGGCTGCATGTGGCAGCAGGCACCTGTAATCCCAGCTACTTGGGAGGCTGAGGCAGAATTCCTTGAACCTGGGAGGAGGTTGCAGTGAGATGAGATCATACCACTGCACTCCACCTGCTGACAGAGTAATATTCCATCTCAAAAAAAAAAAAAAAAAAAAGAAAAGAAAATGTCAGAGCCTTGTTGTTGAGAAACCCTGGCTTTTGGTGCCCTGCCTATTAGGAGTGTTTGGTTTGGGAATGGAATGTGGGACATGGAACATGAGAAGAGAGGCCTGTCGCCAACCACAAGTCCCATTCTGAGTGCCTAGACCTGCCAGGGATCTCAGCCCTTACCTAGCCCGGGGTTTTCAAACGGGGTACCTCGAGGCTCCAGGGTAAGTGTTCTCAACCAGCTGCATATCAGAGCCACCTAGGCAGCCTTAAAACCACCCGTGCTTCAGCCTCATCTCCAAAGATTCTAGAATAAGTGGTCTTATGTGGGGCCTTCGTTAGTGCAACCTACAGCCAGGGTTGGAATCATTGTTCTGGGGTACCCAGAGAGGCCCTAACGATGGAAAGAACTCCTACCCCTTCCATAAGAGTACCTCTCCCTTTTCCCCCAATATTTAAAAAAAATTTTAAAATTATTATTATTATTTTTGAGATGGAGTATCACCCCTGTCGCCCCGGCTGGAGTGCAGTAGTGCATCTCTGCTCACTGCAACCTCTGCCTCCCAGGTTCAAGCAATTCTCCTGCTTCAGCATCCCGAGTAGCTGGGATTACAGCTGCCCACCACTATGCCCGGCTAATTTTTGTATGCTTAGTAGAGACGTGGTTTTGCCATGTTGGCCAGGCTGGTCTCAAGACTCCTGACCTCAGGGGAACCACCCAGCTTGGCCTCCCAAAGTGCTGGGATTACAGGCATGAGCCACTGAGCCCAGTTTATTATTATTATTATTATTTTGAGACAGAGTCTCACTCTTGTTGCCCAGGCTGGAGTGCAGTGATGCGATCTCAGCTCACTACAACCTCTGCCTCCTGGGTTCAAGTGATTCTCCTACCTCAGCCTCCCTAGTAGCTGGGATTATGACACCCACCACCACACCCGGCTAATTTTTGTATTTTAGTCGAGATGCAGTTTCACCATGTTGTCGAACTCCTGACCGCAGAAGATCTGCCTGCCTCTGCCTCCCAGAGTGCTGAGATTACAGGCATGAGCCACTGCACTCAGCCTATTTTTTAAATTAAAAAAATATATATTTTAAGAGACAGGGTTTTCACTATGTTAACCACACTGGTCTCAAGCTCCCGGCCTCAAGCTGTCCTCTTGCCTCAGTCTCTCAAATTGTTGGGATTACAGGCATGAGCCACTGCATTCAGCCAAGTACCTCTCTATTTGTTTTATACATTCCATTTCAATCCCCTCATGTAACACATGAAAAAAATGAGACCCAGAGATCATGTAAGATCATATGACTTGTCCAAGATCATACAACTCATTCATTCATTCATCTGACAAAAACTTAGTGAGTATCCACCCACTAAGAAGGGATGGGAAGCCACACTTCCTGACTGCTCTGGACTGCAATAGCTGCCTGTGACCACCCTTGCTGTCCTCTCTTTCCAGGTTCAACCTTTTGGAGCTGTCCTTGTTTGCATAGACAATATTCGGGAGGTCAACCAGTCCTGCCCATTTTCTCCCCCCCCCTCCCCGCCCCTTCTTCCCTTCTTCCCTTCTTCCCTTCTTCCCTTCTTCCCTTTCCTTCATTTTTTTTTTTTTTTTTTTTTTTGACAGAGTCTGGCTTTGTTGACCAGGCTGGAGTGCAGTGGCTCAATCTTGGCTCACTGCAACCTCTGCCTCTTGGGTTCAAGCGATTCTCCAGCTTCAACCTTCCCAGTAGCTGAGATTACCTGTGTGTGCCACCACACCTGGCTAATTTTTGTATTTTTAGTAGAGACAGAGTTTCACCATGTTGGCCAGACTGGTCTTGAACTGGCCTCAAGCGATCCGCCTGCCTTGGCCTCCCAAAGTGCTGGGATTACAGCCATAAGCCACTGTGCCTGGCCAGGAGGTCAAGCAGTCCTGCCGATTTTTCAGTGGTCTCTATCCTGTCTGTCCCAACCTCCCATAGCCCTCAGCCCACCCAGAACCCTTTCACAATGGACCCCAGTCTCCCGGAGGCACCATCTGACTACCTGCTCCCCTGAATGCACCTCACCCTCAGTGGCCATGTTGACTTTCCTAAAAACTCCACACTGCTCACAACCTCCAGCCCAGCATCAAATGATGATTAAAAATTTGGGCTTTTGCCAGGTGCGGTGGCTCACACCTATAATCCCAGCACTTTGGGTGGCTGAGGCGGGTGGATCACGAGGTCAAGAGATCGAGACCATCCTGATCAACATGGTGAAACACCGTCTCTACTAAAAATGCAAAAATTAGCTGGGTGTGGTGGCATTTGCCTATAGTCCCAGCTACTCGGGAGGCTGAGGCAAGAGAACTGCTTGAACCCAGGAGGCAGAGGTTTCGGTGAGCCGAGATCGTGCCATTGCACTCCAGCCTGGGCAACAAGAGCGAAACTCCGTCTCAAAAAAAAAATGGGGCTTTTGGCTGGGTGTGGTGGCTCATGCCTATAATCTCAACCCTTTGGGAGGCCGAGGCAGGTGGTTCATGAGGTCAGGAGACCAAGACCAGACTGACCAACATGGTAAAACCTTCCTCTACTAAAAATACAAATATTAACTGGGTGTGGTGGCACATGCCTGTAATCCCAGCTACGCAGGAGACTGAGGCAGGAGAATTGCTTGAACCCAGGAGGCAGAGGTTGTAGTAAGTCAAGATCACGCCATTGCACTCCAGCCTGGGGGACACAGGAAGACTCTGTCTCAAAAAAAAAAAAAAAAAAGAGCTGGGTGTGATGGTGCATGCCTGTAGTCCCAGCTACTCAGGAGGCTGAGGTGGGAAGACTGCTTGAGCCCAGGAAGTTGAAGCTGCAGTGAGCTGAGATCACACCACTGCACTCCAGCTTGGATGGCAGAGTGAGACCCTGTCTCAAAGAAAGAAAGAAACACAAACTCCACCAACCTCCCATGCCACATGCTCATGAAGAGCTTACTAGGGGAATGTATATCACAAGGGTTCAGAGAAGGAGCTGGGGTTGTCACAGACACACCCTGGAGTCTGCCATGTGCCAAACACTGTGGACACAAAGATTAAAAAAAACATTAGATGGCCAGGCGTGGTGGCTCATGCCTCTAATCTCAGCACTTTGGGAGCCCAAGGCAGACGTATCACCTGAGGTCAAGAGTTTGACATCAGCCTCACCAACATGGTGAAAGCCCGCCTCTAAGAATACAAAAATTAGCCAGGTGTGGTGGCATGCGCCTGTAATCCCAGCTACTCGGGAGGTTGAGGCAGGAGAACTGCTTGAACCTAGGAGGTGGAGGTTACAGAGAGCTGAGATTGTACCACTGCACTCCAGCCTGGGTGATGGAGCAAGACTCTGTCCCAAAGACACCAAAAAACCGGTGGGCTCATAGGGCAGTGCATAGTCTGGAGGGAAGATGGGTAAAGAAATGCCACCACCTTGATGTGACACAGTTGAAGGATGTCTAGAGAAGGGACACCTCCAGGGGCTCAGAGGATTTTCAGAAGAGGTTGTGTCTGAGCAAAAAGAGAACGGCATCCCAGTTATAAGGACAAGTCTGGGCAACAAGAGAGGAAAAAGCAGGAAGTGTTTGGGCAGCTACAGGTGATTCAGTATGGCTGTGGGGGTGCGTTGGGTGAGCAGTGCTGAGAAAGCCACAGGGACACGTGGGGGCCAGATTCCAGGAAGTATTACACTTCCAGGTAGATCATTTGCTACTGATGAGAAGTGTACATGTGGGAACAGTGGGAAGAGAATGTTCAGGATACAGTTGGCGCTGCCATGAAGCTCCACAGAGGTCACAAGAGGGGTGACAGGCTCAGGAAGGAAGGTGAACTTGAATATGGGGAATCGGAGATACCCGGGGGCATTCAAGTAGAGATTCCAGGTAGGGCTGCCTTTGGACAGCTCTGGCCTGAGGAGCAGATAGAACAAGTAGGAGCTGCTGATGGAGATCCTTGAATGTCAGGAAAAATAGAGGCCAGGTCTGTAGTCTGCAGTCAAGGAAGAGCTAGGGTATGTCTTTTTTTTTTGAGACAGAGTCTTGCTCTGGTGCCCAGGATGGAGTGCAATGGTGTGATCTTGGCTCACTACAACCTCTGCCTCCTGGGTTCAAGTGATTCTTCTGCCTCACCCTCCAGAGTAGCTGGGACTACAGGCACACACCACCATGCCCAGCTAATTTTTGTATTTTTAGTAGAAACAGGGTTTCACCATGTTGGCCAGGATGATCTCAATACCTTTACCTCGTTATCTGCCTCGCTCGGCCTTCCAAAGTCCAAAGTGCTGGGATTACAGGCGTAAGCCACTGAGCCTGGACTTTTTCTTTCTTTTTTTTTTTTGAGATAGTCTTGCTTTATTGCCCAGGCTGGAGTACAATGGCATGATCTTGGCTCACTGTCACCTCCACCTCACAGGTTCAAGTGATTCTCCTGCCTCCACCTCCCGAGTAGCTGGGACTGTGGGTGCATACCACCAGATCTGGCTGATTTTTATATTTTCAGTAGACACACACTTGTGCCATTTTTGCCAGGCTAGCCTCGAACTCCTGACCTCAGGTGATCTGCCAGTCTTGGCCTCCCAAAGTGCTGGGATTACAGGCATGAACCACTGTGCCCTGCTGGGCATGTCTTTAAGTAAGAGATTATAACAGCTAATGCTGAATGAGTGCCAATATAGGTGGGACACAGTCTCAAGCATTTTATTTTTATTTATTTATTTATTTATTTATTTATTTATTTATTTATTTATTGAGACAGGGCCTCACTCTGTAGCCCAGGCTGGAGTGCAGTGGCTTGATCTTAGGTGCAATCACAGCTCACTGCAGCCTTGGCCTCCCCGGCTGAAGCAATCCTCCTACCTCAGCCTCCCAAGTAGCTGGGACTATATACACTTGTCACCACACCTGGCTATTTTGCAAATTTTTATAGAGACTATCTCACTATGCTGCCCAGTCTGGTCTTGAACTCCTGAGCTCAAGTGATCCGCCCACCTTGGCCTCCCAAAATTTTGGGATTATAAGCATGAGCCACAGTGCCAGGCTTGTGTTTCTTTCTGTGCACATAAAGCCAACCCACTGGAGTATGGTCTGCAGGGCTGGTTTTTCTGAACACCTCTCAAACAAGGGAGGCTGCTGTGGTTGCAGAAACGTTTCGTTTTGTTTTCTTTTTTTGAGATGGAGTCTCTGTCGCCAAGCTGGAGTACAGTGGCATGATCTCGACTCACTGCAACCTCCACCTCCGGAGTTCAAGCGATTCTCCTGCCTCAGCCTCCCAAGTGGCTGGGATTACAGGCGCCCACTACCACGTCCAGCTAATTTTTGTATTTTGTTTTTAGTAGAGATGGGGTTTCACCATGTTGGCCAAGATGGACTTAATATCTTGACCTTGTGATCTGCCCGCCTCGGCCTCCCAAAGTACTGGGATTACAGGTATGAGCCACTGTGCCCAGCCAGAAATGTTTTTAAATGGCCCCCAAATCCTCTCTG